CCGCCCCTCCTCCTCGGGTCTTGGGCTCCCCCCACCCAGAAGCCCATTCTGGACTCTCCCGTCACTCCCCACCCATGGCTCCCCAAATCTGTCTCCAGCCCAGACCTCTGTCCACACACCCCCTCCCCCAATTTTTCATCTATTCCCAAAAACCAGTTCCCCTGTCCAGGTCCCCAGTTTAATCCCCAGGACCTGCCAGCCATGGACAGGGACCCTGAGGTCTTCCTCCTTCCCCTTTCCCACAACCAGGCCCACCAGACCCGAGTCTCTCTGCCCTGCCCCCGCCTGTCTGTGCCCGCAGCCTAAACAGGAGCCCAGGCCTCACCCTTGTCCCCTGGGTCCCAGCCCAAGCTTTCTCCCTGGCCTCCGCCTCCAGTCCAGCCGCACAGCAGCCAGCGGGGCCTCCCCATTTTATTTTATATTTTGAAGATTTAATGGAAGTATACCACATAAGCCAGAAAAATGTCCAAATCACAGATACACAACTTAAATAACTACACAAAGTGAACCCTCTGGTGTAGACATCATCCAAATTCAGAAGTCGAACTTCCCCCACATCCCAGAAGCCCCCAGACCCCTTGTCACTGCTCCTCCCCACCCAAAGATAACCATTATCATAACTTCAACGCCACAGGCGGGTTTTGCTGGGTTCTCACTTTTTGTAGATTTATTCCTGACCACACAACCTGTGACACACTGTCCAAATTTCAAAAGGAACAGAATAGCACACAGTGAAAGTCAGACCTTCACACTCCGTCCCTCAGTGACCTGTTCCCGGCCCAGAGTCCCTGCTGCTTTCATGCCTGCCAGAGAGAGTGGATATAGATAGAAGCAGTACCCACACTTTTATTTCCTCCTTTTTGGGGACACAGATGGGAGCATTGCTATACATGCTGTTCTGCTTCCCCCCGCCCCCCCCACTGTTATCTTTTGAACACCTTTGCAGATTGTTAGTTAAAGAGTCTCCTTGTAATTTTTCCTGGCTGCAAAGAATTCCACAGTGTGAATGTACCATAACTTACATAACCAGCACCCTGACCTTGGACATTTAGAGTCACTTCAGGTGGAGGCAACTGCGTGGGCAAAGGCCCTGAGGTGGGCCATGGCCAGGCAGAGGCTGCCGTGGTCCCTGGCGTTGGGGAGGCGGGGAGACCGGGGAGTAACAGGGTCAGCTTTGTCTTTTCAGAAAGATTGTTTCCTTTCCCTGTTCACTGCCTCTGGGAGAGCTTTCCCCAGCCCTGCCAAGACCAAACCCCACACGCATCAGGGTTGTGATTATGCGACTAATGAACTTGGTGTGATTCTGTTTTGGAGGGTATATTCCATTATATTTTACTGAGATAAAATTCACATAGCATAAGATTCACCATTTCAGCTATCCACTGGTTTTTAAATTCCAGGTGTGTTGCACAGAACATTTTCCGTGGTAGGTGTGTTTGGTTGAAAGAATCATTGTAAACACCTGTGCACACTCATCACCCCGACTACAGCTTCCACTGAGGGTCGGCCAGGTTAGCCCTGCTGTCCTGCCCTCTATGGGGTCTGTAGGGTCGCCCTCTTCCAGAGTAAATGAAAGAATAAATGGGTGAGCCTGCAGGAGTGTGGGAGCTGCAAAAAAAATCTCGCTGGAACCCCATTTGTGCACCAACTCAGGGACCCAGGGACACAAGCCTCCCAGGGACGAGGCTGGGACATGCTAAGACCTGAGGAGCCCAGGAGCCCAGATGGGCTCACTGGGAGGCAGGTGAGCCTCTAGTCCCCTTGGGGGTACCTTGGGCAAGTCACCCTCTGAGTCTCAGTGCCTCCCTGTGGAAGGGCTGCTGGGCAGGCAACTTCACAAGCCCTATCTTTGCTCTTTCTGTTTCTAATTATGGTAAAATACACATAACATAAAAGTTGCCTTTTTTTTTTTTTTTTTTTTTTTTT